ACGCATTCAAACAAAATGCCCGGTCTCTTTTTACATGTTGCCCCCAAGTAGGGAAATTTCCACTATGTCTGCAGGTTAGCATATTCTTCTTTATGTTAATGATGTGCATCTCATCGTGTTTGAAACTCGTCAGATGGATGTGTCTTATCCCCAATGAGTAATGGTGTTCCTACTGAGACTTGAACCTAGCAAGCATAGTTCCAAAAGTTTTGACAATTCCGATATATAAGACGAAATGTACAATGTGGATTCAATTTCTAGTCAACAGAAACCAAATAAAACATGACCATTCAAATTTGAGATAGTTTAACACAGACGAATGGGATTATTAAATTAAAACGTATGAGAAGGCAATAAACTATTCCACTGTGTGTTCGAAGGAGGACAATTTACGACAATAAGCCTTCCACTCACTTGCTCAACGCAAAAACACACAAGTACTCACAACGCAAAATTCGTCACCTGGATTTTAAATCACAGTTTACCAGTGATGGAAAACAGGTGACTGATGACCAAAACAGTACAGATGGTGCCCTGTGTACATCACAAGTGAATGCAGTTCAGAAAACCAATAGTGATTTTGCAACTCCAGCTGACAAATCAGGTGCTAACAATGTGCACAGTCTAACGGAAAAATTTCGCTATTTTTCCCATAGAGTTTCTGAAAGAATTGAGATGAGAAAATGTCAGTTCCAGTTCGATGACGAAATGACTTCAGTTATAGAACCAAGTTGATTCTGAGGAAGAAATACTTGCTGACAACATTTGCTGGAGGTGGAAATCATAAATTTGAGGGGGTTTACAATTCATGAGACACTTGATTCCTTCCTAATAGTTGAATGGTTGACGGGCTCATGTCGAAACATGAAGCTCCTAGGTTTGTTGCACAGTGGAGTTATATGTAAATACCACTCAGCTCTCTAGTACTGCCTAGATAACAATCGTTCCCTAAGTGAAATTACTTCGTAATCTAACTTGAAACCAATCGAATTCCCAAGTGCCAGCATTTGAAAACTCAATCATTTACCTGAGAGCCAAGCTGATTTCAAGTTGAAGAAAGTGAATGCTGTAAGACAACTATGACTAATAACAATCAGTACCAGTGGTTAAAAATAACTCATTTCAAGCACATGTAGGTTTGAAGACTTAAATCTCTTCTCATATCGAAAATTATATTTGATTTACTGTTAAAAATAAAAAAAAGGAAGTTTATTTCGTCTTCAACCGTAAATGAAATGTCAATAAAAAAAATATGGGTCTCTGATTAATTAGACATTTACTGTTTGGCTAGGGTCATTTCATTTTTATCATTATTTCGTAATATCTTTCTTATTAATTAGCCTTTCGTTATAGATTAAACAAAAACAGAAAACTATAGATGTCATGTATATGCGGGTGTCTTATATCATTTAAAAAAGGTTTAGATATGAACTCTTTATTGTATATGACTTGGTTTGTGTTATCAATTAAAAGCAAGTTGATTAAACATTCGAGTACAGTTTCATAAAACTAAGTCATCTGAGAATGGATATTACTCACAGTTAAATCGATGGAAAACAGATGGATTAGAGATGACACAGTATTGAACACAGTGTATTATAAAACCTAGAGCTTAAGACTACTTTCGAATTCTGGTATTCTGTCCATTCTTCCTTATTATCCCATATTATGTTTTCCAAACTTTGAAGGCTATAAATAGATTTAGTCATATGAATCTACCACAAGTAAAAGAGAAGGTCAATGAGAGACATTTAAGTTAGTGCACCAGTTTGTTTGAAGGCACGTTTCGCATATGCCAGTTTACGCCGTCTCTGGTGTAGGCGTGATATTCGGCTTCCGACCAAACGGCCTGTGTACTGCTCATCAGTCCTGTCCATCATCCTGTATGGCTAGCTGTCAGACAAGGCCATTGAGAGTGGAAGACATGAAAAGCCTGTCTAGCTGTCTTTGATCATAGGTGTCTGCGTTCTATCTCCCGTGTGAAGTGATATAATAAGGTGAGCAATATTGAGGTGAAGCCTAGGTTGAGTGCTAGTCAAGGAAAGGGAAATCAATAGACGAGGCTGTGAAGTTACATAGACTTAGATGGTTAGGACATGTGTTACGCATGCCTAGCCCCCTCCTTCCTCGACGCGCAATGTTAGCCGTCATATCATTGATCAATTTGGAAAAGAGCCAGTGGTGGTCAAACCAAAACATGCCTTCATCAGTCAATGAAATCCGCAACAGTTAGTTTAAGTCAGCCACGTAGGGAGGTGTAGACTTCCTGGTTGGGATCCTCAGGATAGTAAAAATCACTGGCTGGAGACAGTCGGTGATATGGCTAAAAATCGTTCTCAATGGCTGATGTAGATGCATCCACTCCTTGTGACTTAATAGAAAAATCTCAACCAAACTGTATGTAATATAAATCCCTGTTTGTTGGATGAAATGACAGAACAGAGCTGACGTATCAACATTTTAATCATTCACTCTTACGGCAACTCATGACCTATCCCCTATGTTAACAGTGTATTGCGTCGGTGGCAAAGTGGATAGGACTCTTGCCGACCATCCACATGGTCCGAGGTTCGATCCCCTGCTGACATACACATGATATCTATGGTCGGCTTGCGAAATTTGGGCTACTGATATCCACGCTGAAAATTCCATAATTGTACCAAAAATACAGTGTGGAATCAAGCTGTGATCAAAAAAAATTATTCAGTGTTCTTGTGGCTATTCCAAATTGAGGGACACTTGCATAATGAGCAAGCATCTGTTGCAATGTAAAAAAGTTGCAAGTTTTGCACTCTATATCAAAAATATTATTTTCTCATTTATTGGTGTCCATTCTTGACATTCTACAGTACTACATACTACTTATAATAGTAGATAAAATTTGTAAAATCAAACTAATCATATAAGAGGTGAAAGACAGAAAGCTGTTGAGTTGATAAGAATTTAACAAGCGATAAAAAAACACAGAAGAAAATCACAGTGTTGCTTGAAACATAAAAGTTATTGTTATTTGAAGAATGTGGAATGAATTCAAAGACTTGGTAGTCTGCTGATAGTCTCCCCAACAGTCCTAAATCATCACTGGACTATTCACTCGAAGTATACTGTACACAGAAAGAAGTCAGTGTTACATCATATCAGATAACACCATGTGAGTTCACCTTTATTTGATTATGTCATCAGAAGTACTTGAAAACTGATCCTATTCACTGAAAGCCTTTAAAGATAAACATTTTAAATGTCATGTTAACTGTAACTCAGAGGATTACCATCCTCAGCAGTCACAGTACGTTTCGATCCTTAGTCAAGGATTAAATTTCAACACAGAACTTTGCACAGAAATGTAGATGTTTGAGAGGCCACTCTCCTTGTAGCACACAAATGTAAGGAACGAGAATCAAAAGTACTTCAATGGGCAGAAATGTGTGGATTTAATCGGTATGACAGACCACAAAGAGTGAATTCACCTGTAGCAATGAGAATTATTTTGAGACATATCACCAGTAGCCTCTGTAAACTGACTCCTTACATCCTCGTACCCCAATCGGGCTGTCTACACCTCCCTAAATGACTGGCTCAACCCAACTGACAATGACTGCAGGAAATGAATACATGATAAGATTTTCTCATACCTAACGCTTTACCAAACTAATCCACTCTCAGCTAATACTACTCTTTAAAGAAGCGCGACGGCTCGTCATGATTATTATCTCTCCTAGCCATTTCAATTGATGTAGCAAAACAACCTGGTCGACTGACTTCTCTTTCTTATCTAACAATGTACGCCTAACCTCAATATCGATTACAACTTTATATTCAGTAAAATTGAAAGGTGGTTTTCTCGCAAACAAGGCATATATGTAATATGTGAATTAAAAGATTCTACGAACAACACAAAAACAAGAGGGCAGATTTACCACAAATTATTTCAAACTAAATATTAAATAAAAAGCAGGAGACTGAAAATTTATTTTGTGCGCCATCAATAACCGATCTGTTTATATATTCCTCCATTTCGCCTACCTCCCACACCCAGCTACACATCTACTTACCTAACTCTTCGTGCACTGTGAGCTTGTGAAAAACTGAAAGTCGAGTCACATGATAAAGAAAATTCATCACTGCACCGCACTGCATTACACTACAGTGCACTACACTGCACCTGATCAGCTGATTTTAATATCATCACACACATATATCAATCAGTTAATTAACCAATGACGGTTGAAAGTCACTTCACATTTATTTCCGTTGAGAAGTCACATCTACTCCCGTCTACTAAGTAGTACAATGTCTAGAGGTAAACAACTCACTGGTAAGTCAGTTATTTGGGATTTTACATCTGCTATGCGACAGACAATTGACATATCAACCAACAAGGAACAGATCACTCTTCGAGAATCGATTCATGCAGTTCAGGATAGGAGACAAACAGATAAAATAACCAACGACTGTTTAGTTTTTACTATATACTACGTCCCTTGTGAACTGACCACTTTATAGTCAACGCATGATAAAAGACTATACATGACATAGCTCCAAGTGAAATATAGAACCTTGTATTTTCGTCTTTGAAGTTTTAAAACCAATGGTTGTTATCCTTACATCCAACGTCCCTTTTCATCCCGGTTTAGGAATGCCTCAGCGAAGAATCTAACCTTGACCACTTATCTGGTTGGTGAGTGTTCTACCACCCAGTGATCGACCAGATACATGACATAAATGTCTGTTTACAACTGGGAATTCATGTCTTTTCGCACCTCGTTGCCACCAATTATTGTTCTTAGTAGACATAGAAAGCAACAGTCAGTGATGAATATTCTCTAGCCAAGAGTAAACAGGGAGTAGATCTCTCAGTGATTCTTTAAGTGATAAAACCTGCATTTGAGGCAATCAAAATCGTAAATAAAACCCAACATCTCAGTAATCGAAAAGGTTTTAAATCATCAATGAAATGTACGCATTTACCCACTCACTAATTCACTCATTCACTCACTCACCTGACTATCCGATTGAACTCGATTGGATAGTAGGATTACTATTCCAACATTTAAGAATGCATTTACAATTATATTCAATAAATAATATGGATTGAAATATGTAATTGGCATTTCTATTATCAAATATAAATCACGAAGAAGAACAGAATTATATGAATGTGTGTGTGTGGGTGGGTATGTGTGTTTTTTCGTAGGGCACAAAAGTGACAGAAAGTATTCCTTTCTACAAGATGATTAATTATAGGAACTGTAGAATTCTGTGGTTTGTAATACTTTGTAGACAAAACATCACAGTTATAATGTTTCAGTAATCTGTCCCTACGTCAAGACATTCATTTATCCAAGCATTAAGCAATGTATGTATGAACGAGTTAGAAATAATAATTGACTGTGTGGCAAGTTATGCTGTTATGTATTGATTAGGATATGTAAAAATATCCTAGTGAGCACATTACTAATACCACTATGTATAGTAATAATCCCAACATTGTTCAGCTGTTTTGGACAAGATATATTTCTGTATTTATATTAACAGTTTCTCACATTAAAGGCCAGTAAAATAATGATAATAATTACGAATGAACTAACTGCATTGATAATTCGTTATTCTCTAAATAGATACACACTCATTGAAATGTGTGCAAGTTTTTGTTGTATGTGCGTTTGTGTGTGTGTGTGTGTGTGCTAACTATGGTTTTTCGGCATATTCGTCTGTGTATGTATTGCGTTCCTATGTGTCTGTCTGTGAGTGTCAATCTGTATTTTATCTGATTTGTGATTAATTAGAGTTATTAACAATTCATTGATTTAAACTACACTAAATGCTTGTGTGCAGATGGTGACATGAGTGGGTGGGTGTATGCATGCATGAATGAGTGTCAGCATTGAACTTTCGACAACTACAGTTTCTTTATTCACACTCCGTTCATTTGATTAAACTGCCAAATAAAACGGAATAAATAAAAACTTGGTTTCACCGATTGTAGTCACAGTAAACTGTTACACATTGTAACAGTAATATAATAATAATAATTATCTCGGCTAGGACAAACAAACTGTTCGTTTTAATATGGCGCCATACTCATTTTTATAAAACAAACATTTTCTATGAAGTAGCCAAAGAAAAAGAATTAATAATGCATGTAACTGTTTTCATAACCTTGACTGAAAAAGGTCATACATGCTGTTATATCATTTCTACATAATTAACTAACTCATTTTATAAATCGAAAATGTGACAATATTATGTAATTATGCTAAAAACGCAAGTCTATAGACTAACAGCTGTTATTTTAAGTATAGATTTTGTTACTAAACGACATATCGTAATTGTGCATAATCGTTTCCCTTCACTTTAAGACTCTTTGTCACTGTCTGCTAAGTGATTAAATCGAGGAATTTTAGGTTACGTGACTATCACGTTGACATTCAGCCAGTGAGTCAGTCATAATCACGTTATCACTGAAATCTGTCTAACTTCTATCAGCCACCATATAGCGGATTCTCCATCCATTGTAATGAGTGAGTATCCGTCCACATATTTGATTTGGTGGACTTTATTACTTACAAATTCTCATTAGAACTCAACGAAGTCCATTTTGCCATTATAAAAAAAACTTTCGGCATACTTCATGGTTAACTGCGGGGAGAGTTAGGAACTAAACAGTTGTCTCCAACTTAGTTTGGCACACTTCATTAATGTGTGGCAACGACTCCACTGTGGATCGAATCCTCGAAGCGAAGAGATTCTTTTCAACAGATTTATTAACAGTCTATCAAAAAGTATATATACAGCATTTCAGAAATTATATCCCGTTAGGAAATTCAAACTTAGCTGTGAATACATAAGATAATAATAATAATAATAATAATAATAATAATAATAATAATAATAATAATAATAATATGAAATGCAGTTAAAATGTTTGTGAATATAATCGTAGTTAAATATCAGAACTTTCTTTCCTACAAGCCACACTAGCAGAAAAAAACAGTTACCCAAACCGATTTATTGACAAAAACACGAGAGATAAGCAGTCTGAACTGGTCATTAACTCAATTCCAAATAAAACCATCTATCATGACTTTGAAATTCAAAGGTGATCAGGTTTCAAATATACTCAAATATCATCTCTCTACAGTAAGCCAGTAAGTCGTCCTTTGCTGCAAAACTATAAATGACTTTCACCAGCTGCAAATTGTTCTCCATCTCTGTAGAATATAAGCTTCCACGTCTGGCCACCTCCATCTGAGTCTATCAGTTCACCTGCTCTTGTGCGGTAGGATACATTTGGCTGTAGCCATAGAGTGCTTTCCATACAGATACGAGAATATATATAATTCAGCGTGATTCTACAAAGAAGATATGAGGGTTGTGCAAAACCTTATTCTAGAACACTTGATCAACTTCTGTTAATCTACCAACCCCGACCATGATTTTAAGATCGCCTATCGAATTCATGTTAACTTGATGCGCTTTCTTCATTAATAACTTCTAAAGACAGCAAAAGCCTTGGCTATTGATTCATGAATTTAAGCCAGACCTTTGTGAACAAAAGAAGTATGTACAGTCCATATTCCTACCTTAGTCGTAGAGGGATAAACACTTGTTTATTTAGTTTTTGCTTTGTTTATTTAATCTATGTACTGTTCTCTTATCATTGCAATTGTTGCTATTTCTATTTTCACTTTAAACAGTTACTGGTTTTGTCTAACTTGTCCTATTTATTATTTTGGCAGTGATAAATTCTATCATGTCACAATGTTTAATTGCAATAACTTAACATCTCTTTCCAGCATCTACACATTCTACGGACCATTTCATTTATGAAAGTATTTGTTTTATCCCTTGATAATGAAGTGCGATTATCGTGTTTCCCATTATTATTTTAGGTATTCACGCCTTTGTTTGGATCCCCTCATAGATATAGTTAATTAGAAATCACATATATATATATATATATATATATGTCTACACACTATTTTACAGCTTGATAATAAATTATGGTGTTTGTTTACAAGGATTTGATTGGTTTCAGGATTTCATCATAAACTGACATCGGTCCCAAGACAACTGGAAAACCTGAGAATACTGGACAGCTGTTTCGTCCTAGTTTTGGTCTCTTCGTGAGTGCGCACCCACTGAGTTTCGAACCCAAGATGAAGTTTACTAGTGACTGGCCCTATTCAGGTAGGTAGGTAGTGAAGTCGTGGCCAGTTGGGTACAGAAGGTCGGGTGTGAGGACAAATGCTCACCACAGATGACATTCGCTAGTGGTCGCGCCATATACTGAACTGATAATAAGTTTGTCCTAAACAGTTTCTTCGCCGAATATTGTGTTCTTATTCTTACACTGGGAATCATTTAATTAACTATTATAATGGTAACAGACTGAACCTATCAGATTAAGTTGTTGATAAAAGTAATGCAGACAGGTGTAAACAATTTGTTTTCAACATAATCGCCACTCCTTTCCTCCACTTCATCTGTTATACCTCTAAGTTGTTTCATGTTTCTTTTATTTTCAGAAGATTAGGAGAATAAAAGGGAACAACTCTGTAGAATGGTATATATTATTAAACATACTCTTTAAACAGATTGATAAAACATACCTTGAAAAAATTTCTGGACTTGCTGAAACAAACTCCTAATCTTCTGAAGATATTTTATCTACAGATGTAGAATTTCTGAAATGACTTAATCTTCGTGACGAATATAGCTCATCTATTTCTGGTATTCTGATACAAAATTGAAGAGTGAGGTTTACCTTGGACTGTCAGTAGCATTGGTTTTATTGCTTATTACTAAGTGCTGTTGACAGTCCCATTCTAAACATTCTCATTTTTCTGTCGTACTACCGGCTCATTAACTAGGTGACATTTAGGAGTACGTCAGTCGAAAACGGAATTTGGATAATATCCTCACTTTGAACTGTTTCCGGTATTATTTCAATCGTCGCACTTGCCATTCTACAACAAAATCTTTTGCAATGTTTGATCCTATTTTATCAAATTTATCACCATGTCGTGTAACCTTTCACTACTTACCTACTATTCAATGGTTTTACACCCCCTATCCAACACCTAACAACAGCGGAAGCAGAACTACCAGTGAACATCAACCTCTCGATGAAATCAGAAATCCTGAAGGTAATAAAGATGCTAAAAGCTGGAAAAGCAGTAAGGCCAGATGGAATCCCAGCAGAAGCATTGAAAATGGACCCAGAGACAACAGCGGACTTGATGATGCCACCACCACTAGAGAAGGTGTGGAAAGAGGGCAAAGTACCCGTCGATTGGAAGAAAGGATACTTACTGAAACTGCCAAGGGAAGGAGACTTAAGTCAACGCAAGAACTGGCACAGAATTATGCTCCTGTCAATCTCAAGCAAAATACTAAGCTGCATCATCCTGGAGAGAATCCAACAAGCCCTAGATGGAAAACTTCGTCCGGAACAAGCTGGATTCAGGATAAACAAGTCATGTTTCAAATCAAATCGCCACTCTACGGATCATCATTCAACAAAGCTTGGAATTGCAGTCACCTCTCCACCTCACTCAACTTCATCGACTTTGAAAAGGTCTTCGATAGTGCAGCGTCGATCGAGAGGTCATTTGGCAACTACTTCGCTACTACGGGGTGCCATCCACAATTATACATTTCATCCACCAGTTATACGACAATGCTGCATGCCAAGTAATCCACAACGGGAAACTTACAGAAGCCTTCGAAGTGAGGACGGGAGTGAGGCAAGGCTGTCAATTATCGCCAGTGATCTTCCTGATTACAGTAGATGGGATAATGCGACAGACAACGGGCAATGAGGAAACAGGCATAAAATGAACCCTCACAAAAAACTTGGAGGATCTGGACTTCGCCGATAACATATATATGTCTGATTTCCCACAAACTGGAGAATATGCAAGTGAAAAGCAACAAGTTGGCAGAAGAAGCATCAAAGATAGGACTTCACTTCATGTGAACATAGATAAAGCAGAGGTGATGAAGATTCTTGGCCAACACCAACAGCAACAACTGCAATGACAGACATAAATCAACATAAATGGGAGGGATCTGAAAGAAAAAACCTCCTTTACCTACTGATCTGGGAAGCATCGATTCAACTACAGGCGGAGCTGACGAGGATATCAAAACATCGAGGATCGGGAAAGCAAGGCAAGTTTTTCTTACTCTTAAGGCTGTGTGGAGATCAACATCACTCAGGATGAAAAATAAGATCTGGATTTACAACTCCAATGTGAAGTCAGTGCTACTATATGGATCAGATACCTAGCGCGTCATGAAGAGCACTTCAAACACACTAGAAACCTTCATCAACAGCTGTTTCCGCTCAATACTCAAGATCATATAGTCAGAAAAAAACCAGCCACAAGGATCTCTAGGAGCGACCCAACCCAGCAGGAATCAATTGTACGACAAATAAGCAGGAAGAAATGGAGATCGACTAGCTTTACTCAGAGAAAACAAACCGTCAAATGACATCGCACGACAGGTCATCGCTCGAGTGGACCTCGAATAGGAAATGGCGAGTTGGTCGTCTGTGTGAGGGTGACATGTAGGATGTCATGTGAAGAGGAGATGAAAACATTTTAGGCAGACTTTGAGCCAGGTGAAAACTATAGCAGAGAACCGAACGCGATGGAGAAGCGCGGCTGAAGCCCTATGTTTCTCTAGGAATTAAAGGAAATAATAATATCCCACACCTATGCATCCTATGAACTATTCT